CTCTCTCTCTCTCTCTCTCTCTTTCTCAATGTTGTCTACAACTGGTCTACAGATGAAATGTGATCATAAGATACCGTTGTTTTTAAAAATAAAAAACTAAACAAAAAAATCCACTAAATTCTCGTTATATAAACAGATAAAAATATTATTAATTATTAATTTTTGTGAAACTCATTTATTATTAAAATGTAAAAAGCACATTTTTCAATATTATCTTAAATTTTTGTTTACAACTAAACAATAAATTTAGTTTATAATTACCTAGCTTGCTATCTAATTTGGCCTACACTGTAAATGTATGGTGTCTATAACCTGCCCATAATAAAAGCAATTTACAAAGTTAAAAATTGGCATTTTTGCTAAATATTATTTAAATCATTAGTGCTTTTCATAAATCTGTTTTCAAAATAAAACTTTTAAACTAAAAAATTATTTTATAATTTTTAACATAATTTTGAATTAAAATTAACATTAAATCCAGAATTTTTTTTATTGAAAAAGTTTATTGACTGCAAAATATCATATGTTTATCATTAAAAGTTATAAAACATTTTAATAATATAAATATAGATTTAATACATGGTGAAAAACTTTTTTTTAACTAAAATTTATTGTGGTAATTTTTTAATACACCAGTTAATAATATTTATGTGTGTTTTATAAAACTGTGCAATAATTACCCACAAAAAACTCTTTTTAGTTCATAAAGCGAGTGTCGAGTTATAACAACTGCACGTAAACACTCGCTATAGTGAACCACTAGTATAACATTAAAATACATTACATACACGCAAAACAACCATGATCGTGACGGTGATCATAGTCACCGTGCTAATCGCACAAGCTCATTGCTTTCTAGATCCGGCTCACTCTGTCCAGACCTGTTTCACCGGCGATAACCTGCCGGCCGTATGCGTCGACCAAAGCCTATGCCCGCCGTCAGCGGCGGACGACCTATCGGACCGACAGGTGTACACGTCGTCCAACTGTACCGATGAGCGCCAGGTGTGTTGCCCTATGCGAGACGTGAATGGCCATGGTGGTCTCGACGCGTTTATTGTGCCAAGGTGGGACTGGCAAGAGTGGCTACAGAACTGGACGTATAGGCCGCCCACCCCTATACCCCATCCCAATGTACCGCCGTATCCGCCCGCGTCGGGCAGTGTTGTACTGCCACCCTATCCGGGCCAGGGTGAAGTGCCACCGCCGTCGGTTGTCCAGGCTAATATCAGCGTAATTAGTCAGCCAGCCACATCATCCACACCAGCGTCCGTGCCAAGTGCCCCCGGTGCTCCAGTCGGTGGTGTAACAAGTAAGTAGCATTGTGTTAGTAAAAATTGTACTTATATTAATTTGTTGATAGAGGTCATTAAAAAACTGATTTTATGCTAAATTATGTAACTAGGTTGCGGCGCCCGCACCAACATCGTCCAAAAGGACATCGAAATGCAAGAGAATTTGGGTTTCATCGTGGGCGGACAGGTGGCACAGGCCAACACCTGGCCCTGGGTTGTGGCCGTGTACTCGAGCGGGCGATTTATATGCGGCGCTTCATTAATAGATAAAGATCACGTGTTGTGCGCCGCCCACTGCGTGTCCCACGGGGGGCGCATTACTCGCGCCGAACAGATCCAGGTGCAAATTGGTGCTCATGATCGACGCGGCTCCGGCCAGTACTACAAAGTGGATAAGATTGTGGTTCACTCAGGCTATAACGAGCGTATTATGCAAAATGATATATCCATGTTCAAGTTGGGCTCACCGGTTAGCTTTGGTAAAACAGCGGCCCCGGTATGCCTGCCGCCCAATACGGCCAGTTGTCCCGATAGTACCAAGATGAATGCATACCTGGCCGGTTGGGGCACTACATCAGCTGGTGGCTCGACTAGTAATGAGCTCCGGGAGGTTACGGTACCCACTATACCTTTAAAGGACTGCCAACGTGCCTATGATTCAAATATGGTGACCACCAAGCAGATTTGCGCCGGTTTTTTGGGACAGGGTGGTAAGGATACCTGTCAGGTATGTGTCATTTTAATTTTTGGTGCAACTTGGTTTGTTTAGTAAACTTTTCTGCATATAAATAAACTAATTCTTAACATGTAGTGCTAAATGAGTACAAACTGTAATTATTCAATTAGGGTTCAAATATAGCAATTAAGTAAATGATATAATGCTATATTTTTGGCTGACGGTGGGGTAATGATTATTTTATAGACCAATAATTTAATAATAATTTAATATCTGACCTCGACAATTTACGTTTCAAATGTTAAGTTTAACCTAAGTTATTTTCAAAAGTTATTCTCTATACTTACAAGATAAAAATAGATAGATTATAGCTAAACAATATTTTATTAACATAAACAGGACAATTAATTTAACAATATTAAACAATAAAATTTACTATAACTTGTATGTTAATTAAAAATGTCATTAATTGTTTCCATTATAATGTAACCAGGGTGATTCTGGAGGACCAATGGTGGTGAAAATGGATGCCAAAGTGAATCAGTACTATCAGTGCGGTATAGTGTCGTGGGGCAGGGGCTGTGCCGAAGCGAGTAAGTTACCTTGGTTTATTATTTATGCTATTATTATCATTTTCATTAACTATAATAAACAATTAATCATGATTGTTATATTAATGTAGGATATCCTGGCGTTTATACCAAAGTGTCTGAATATCTCGACTGGATTAGAGCGAACAAAGTTTAATATTTTAAAAAATAAAATTAAACTAGATAGATTTGCTAAATTTGTAGTTTTTCATGTTATTTAACAAATTGTATTGTTTGATTGAAATAATAAATGATAAATTAAAATTATTTTTGTAAATTATTCAATTCTTTTTAGATAAAATTATAAACTGGATTACATTTTATATGCAAAGTTAACGTTACATAAGTAATATTATATGAAAATAAATTATTAAAATATAAATACAACTTAGAAAGTTAGATCGTTATAATATAAATATTAGAAAAATATACTAAATTAATAAATTATTGACACTAATCTAATAATGTACCTAAGTATTAATGTAATTTTTAATACTTTAAAACAAAAGTTATGTATGATGGTTGGTTTTATTTTTGCAATTTATTAAGGACTTAATATTATGTACTATAAATATTAATTTTTAATAAAATAAATCTATTTATATGAACATTGTGATAACTATTAAACAAAGTTATAATTGAGAAATATAAAATTATACAAGATAATTTAATTTAATCAGTTCTGCATAATATATTTAAATCTCAAACGCCAATATAATTACTATTAATAGTTATAATTTACTAAAATAATATTTAAAATAAGTATCTCGCTTGCTATATCCCAATTGCTTCCAGTATTGCCAATTGTTATATAAAGCTCTATGTTAAATAAAGCAAGTTAATACATTTAAGATATATTTACAGTTTTTTCTATAATATTATGGTATTAATTTAATTTTAACTTTATAATAATACTAAATTATCTTAAATCTTTTTTATGATTTATTTTTAACAACTAATCTCTAAATTAGTGATTTAATAAAATAAAATAATTATACTAATCATATGTCATTTAAACGTAACTATTAATATTCTAATTTACACTAAAATGTTTGAAACCTAAAGTTTACATTAGCAAAATAAATTAATTTCACAAAACACACGACTACGTAGACAAACGTTAAATAACATTATAGCATAAATACCCACAATATTACCTTTTTTCTAAACAAGCACATTTTATTTTTTAAAAAGTCTAAAATTGTTGAAAATGTGCTAATTTAAATTTTATTAACTTTTTATATATACAGCTGATATGTATGTTAATCTATGGTGACGTGTGTGGCTTATAAATCAGTAGAATTATATTTTTTAAATTGAGCTCAATAATTTTTCTCTCTTTTTTCGCCAAATAATTTACAATTAATATTTAATTTGAGTGATTATGATAAATTTGAATACGTATTTACTTAATATAGTAGTTTTAATTAATATAATAATTGTGATAAATGTGACAATAATTGCTCATGCTGATGATAGTAAAGACACTACGTTGCCGTCGGGTCAGTTCAAATAATCATTACTATTATTATTTAATAAATATTAACTAGGTAATGATTATATTACACATAATATATACGAACCAAATTACTAAATATTCTACATCATATTTAAGTACTATAATCGCTAATTAACTATTAAGTTGCCAACCTGATTTATTACAATAGTCGTAATCAAACTAATTACCTAGAGTGCGGACGCAAAGTACTAAAACCACTAATTAACTATTAATTTGCCAACCTGATTTATTACAATAGCCTTAATCAAAC